TATAAATATTAGACAATGTTACAATATTATAATAATCTATTTGAAAACATTCAGTATTTCTCAAACTTTTCGTTACGTTACGGGAAGTTCCAGCAATTTGCCTTAAGGCACGATGCCATACCCCCACTAGTTTAACAATATATTTGTACAAATATGATTAATATTAATATCTAGTTGTGTATGGCATCGTGCCTTAAGGCAAATTGCTGGAACTTCCCGTACCGTAATTAAAAATCTTGGTACGGAACCCAAAAAAATTGATACAAAATGGTACACATTAATAAAATCTCTATAAAATATCTGATAATTTGATGTACATATGTCCAATAAACATTTTTGACCGCCAAATGACATTTTTTTAACTTATTTTTATTGAGAGTCCATAAACGCTGGACCTGCCTTCCCAAAAATTTGAACAGTTCTACATCTTGTCAGTACAAGTAAAATGTTATTTGAATTTTTAAAATCGTACGCGTTCTCTGTGTTACCGTTTTTGGCACTTTTTACTCCGCATCTTCGAAACGGCTAAGCCTGCCTTCGCCAAAAACTAATGAGCACGTCTCGTTATCAGTACGAATCGAATATTTTTTGAATTATTCAAATCGGTTGATCGGTGTTCCCGAAATCGTCGACGAACATTTGTATCCGCACACACACACACACACAAACATCCATTTTTTCTAAGGTATGCCAAATTGTTCAAAAACCTTTGAAACATAAAGATATATGAAAATTTTCATTTTCGATTTCTTTGCGATTACTATAACTTGCCCTACGGGAAGTTAATCGAATCTTATTGCTATTTTACCTTCGTAATAGGTTTTAATATCAGGCATGGTATCAGTCGTACAAATTTCGCTCTCATTAAGCACAGCTTTTCTGTCCAGTTTGGGACTCCATATTTAAATTTCCAGTCATTTTCAAAATTGTATCTTAACTTAAAGACACTTCAAAACTTTCACTGAATTTTAAATCAAACAATTTTACACGCGGAAGCAAGCATGTCCGTTAGATTCAACTGTCAGATAGATATTGATATAAAACACATAATGCATTGACATCTCTCCTTTAGTTCTAAACACACAATTACACAAAGTAATTTGTTTATATGTAAGGTTTTATCTCGGTCATTGTGTTCGATTCAGAGTTGGACTGATATCAAAATAGTAATATTAATTATTAAAAGACTATAATGACTGGTTCCCGGACATTGTCGAGTTGGTCGGCTACCGGTAGTGCAACTGATTTTTCTTGGTCGCCGCCGTCGCCGAGAGCGAAAGTAAAAGTGACCCCTCTTCTTGTATTCGTAAGAGTAACTTCAGTGTAATGTGCGAATAGACAAGGCGCCAAAGACGAAAATGATTATGATATAGCTCCGTTTGGTCACCAGATGGTTTCGTGAGAAAGATGAAGAATTTTTTTTTGTTTTATATTTGAAAAGGAAAAATTTGATTTTATTACACAACAGTAATGAATTTATTTCGTTTACAAAAATGAAGTGTTTTTTAGTTGAACTTCTCTAAGTCAATGAAAGTGAATCCACAAATTATCCGTTTCATTGAAGTGCTCTTTGGTAAACCACATTTTTTGTTTTTTGGTCTGACGTTAACACAAACAAAGCGGATGGTTTTCCAACTCGTGAATAGGCAATGTATAACTGCCCATGTGAAAAACAATGATTTTTTAAATAATCTATTTATCCCGCAAACACTAAGCGATTGCCCTTGCGACTTGTTATTGCAAACGCAAGGCGAACTGGAAATTGCAATCGTTTGAAGTCAAACGGAAGACCAGTCGGAATCATTGGTATGTCACCAAATCGCCAGCAATTTTTGATTTAATGGTGAAATTCAGTGCGTGGACATCATTTTTCTTTGCGGTAAGACTTATTCGTTGACTTAACCAAGCATAATACTGATAATTTTCACTAATGTCATTACTCGAATTTTTAATACGGTGCGTGAAGTTCCACCAGCTTGCATTAAGGCACAATGCCATGCACAACTAATTTTATTAGCTATAAACCATGCGG